GCAAATAGTATAAAATCTTATGTAAGGAACTTGAACATTTGAGGATTTTTGGCATGCTCAGTGTTTTTTGAATCTCTGTTACATCACTGTGATGTGTGACTATTATTACTTCACCATGGATTGTTATCGAGGAACAACGAACTCATGATCTTCAAGTGTTTGGTGATGGTGGAAATATATATGTTTGATGTAGATAACAATGACAATAACAAAATTGATTGCATCTTTGAGAGAACAAAGAGTGGAGGAAGAAGTGGTCACTCCCTGATATTCATACCTGAGTGCAACTTCAGGAGGGCTGGTGTGGTGAGGACAGAATCGGGGAGTCTGTAAAACCCAATCTGCAGCTGAAAAAGTCACGGACTTGTCATTTGTTAGACTGAAGTTCTGAGAGTCAAACCCATCAGTATCCCTGCAGTGTGACAGACCCAGCGAGGATCCAGAATGCTAACCAGGTAATTACTGCTGTGGGATGGCTATTCTTGTTTCTTTTTCTTTTCCTAAGAAACATAAGTGAAATTAGCTTGCCATGCCTTTATTTCTCATGTCCTCTCACTCTCAGGTTCTTTCTTTCGGTTGATTTCCTGCTGTTAGAAAGATGAATAAAACGATGTGCCCCAAGGCTTTCTGTTGACCTTTGGGACTTAAAAGTCTCTCACCAGGGAAAGAAAGCATCCCTGAAATAAATGCAGATTCACGAAATACCTCAGGCTTGTGGAGGAAACAAATGACTCTGGGTTCTTTTCAATTCACGGAACTCAGCAGGCAGAAAAGGAGCAATTTGAGATTTCTGTGAGTCTGGGTGTCTCACAAAATAATGCTGAGGGCTGGCAGTCAAAGATACTAGTGAAGTATTAGTGTTGTAAGTTCAAAGTGTTCATGCTTCTCAGGGTCTGAAAAAATAGGGCTGACAGTAGCTTATTAAATTCAGGCTGCCAATGGAATTTCTTTTTAGTTTATTAATTTGGGGAGAGTTTCCTGGTTTTTCATGTTTTGATTTGGCAAAGAGACATCACCCATCATACACATTCATAAGGCGTTCTAGAGATGAAAATGTCAAGCTGTAAAGGGGAAACAACACACCACAGAGCCCTGATCACCAGCGCGCGAGGAAGACAGACTTGTATCAGAACTACGGGTTGAACAATTCTATTTCCTTGAGAGTCTTGCAGTGACACTGTTGTGCATGAACAACATTAGGCTCTTTACTTGCTTTCCCCATCCACACCTGATGTCTTTTACCTGCCACACTAAATTAAATCAGAGACAGGCACAAAGCCTTCATGGTTGCCCACAAGCATCTGTCAGTCTTCCCTTCTCTCTTTACCTTACTCGATTGCAAGCTGTACTGACTTCCTTGTCCTTTGCACAGACCAAACATAAATCCACCCCCAGGCTGCGGACTTGCTGTTTTCACTGCCTGGAGTGACCTGCTTCTCTGCCCTTGATTCTCACGAGCAGATTCCCCTACAGACATCAAAATGGCAGCCTCTATCATCCTTAATTTCCTTATTTTTTTTTAGTTTCCTTCTCAGCTTTTATCTGTATTTGATGCTGTGTTGGTTTCCATGGCTTCCAGTCTTTTCCCACTACATGTAAATCCGGTGTGGGTACCTGTCTCATTTATTTAGTCACCTTTCTACCCCCTATGCCTAGAACAGTGCCTGGCACACAATACGCATATAGTAATTACTTCAGATGTATTCTACTTTTCTCTCTTTAATTGGACGAATAGTTCCCTGTGGTTTTTGTTTTTTTGTACCAGGGATCAAGCTCATGACCTCACACTTGCCAGGCAGGTGCTGACACTGCTGAGCTAAAACCCCAGCTCCCCACCCCTTGTGGTATTTTTAAGGATTCTAAATAATGCATTATGGAGAATCTCAAAAATCCCCCAGCACATTGCAACAAAATCTGCCTCTGCTTCATCTTTTACTAATTCTGTGTACTCTGGTGAGTTTCCAGCTGCCAAGTGTGCTGCTCTGTGCCTGGAGGCTATTTCTGTACACTTGGAAAGACAGAAGTACCTGCGAAATAGCATCCCTCTTCCAGAAACCTTCAGACTGTGACTTCAGGTGTTGGTGATGGAGACTTGTGTTTTATAGTTTTTCCAGAGCTTCACTATAGGATTACTCCCCAGTCCATCACCGTGGTGGCCAGCTTCATACCTCTCTTTATTGGCTTGTTTTGTGTTTCCCTCTGAAATAACTGCATTGAGTCATTGTCTCAGGATTTGCTTCTGGTAGACACCAAATAAATGGTTAAAGAATGGAAATTTTTAATTTCTAATAACTTTTTCCAGCCTACAATGAGAGGCTAGCCATTTTCATATGAAGTTCCTGTATCTGAATAAATATATAATCTGTTAGCTTTTCATAATTGGGACAAAATATCTGAGATAAACAATTTAAAGGAGCAAAGGCTTATTTTGCTTCACAGCTTCAGAGGTGCCAGTTCATGGTCAGCTGGTTCCCTTGCTTTCAGACTTGTGGTCACGGTAGTGGGCACGACAGAGGGAAACTGCTCGTGTCTGGTGGCAGGAAAGCAAAGGTAACATGGACACGCATTGGTTAGCTTCTTCCTGGGTACACGGCTGCTCCATCTGGGCTTCCACCATTTTGGATGCTGCTACCCACACTCAAAGTGTATTTCCCCCTTGTTTTGATGTCCCTCATGCCAGTCTTCTTCGGCAATGCCTTCTCAGACACGTCCAGTGATGTTCTTTAATAACCTCCAGGGGTCTCTCAGTCCAGTCAAGTGGATGATCAAGATTAACGGACACATAGCCCATTCAGTACATTTTAATAGTTATTAAAAATAGTAATGACGTTTTCTGACATTTAGCTTATTCTGTAATAGCTTACGTTGTAGCTCTCACCTCTGTATGGCATACTTATCTTTCCCAAAATATTAAACTTTTGGTTATTTACATCTTGAGCATCGCTTTGGTAAATGATTTGCAAACCCAGCCCAGTTTCAAAACACTCTATATATTTGGAGATGGGAGTTTTAAAAGATTTCCTCAAAAGTCTGCCATAAAACTAACATAGCAAACTCTGGTAAATCTTCCAGGATTTTTCCAATCTTCTCAATTCAGTAAATTTCTTCAGAGGTTTCTAGATTACTATATCATTGCAGAATTGTATGCTGATCCTGAAGGGCTCCTTCTGTTTCATTAGCGGTTGTTATGGGTTCTTAGAATGTTAAAATTAACAACTTTAAAAATACTACTTTAATCATTTAAGTCATAAGCCTTTGTAAATCAATAAATAATTAATTTCCAAGTATGTGAAGTGCATATTAATTTATTATCATGTTAGCCTTCACTTAAAATATTAAGCATTAATATAATGTGATATTGGCATGAGTAATCACCAGAGCAGAATAGAGCCCAGAAAGAAATCCATAGGATATTCAAAATGATGCTCAGACTACGGAGCAGAGGAGAGTATTTTCCATAAATGCTACAAGAGCAATTGAATATCTGTGCTAAAAATTATATGAACATTGAATCGTAATTTACACTAAGTACAAAAATTATATAAAAACGAGCCATAGAATTAAATATAGTAGCTAAAACTATGAGACTTCTGGAACAAAATATTAGAGAAAAATGTTTACATTAAAGTGTCATAAACAGTACATGTTAAAATATGAGCTATAAGCATGATAGATAAATTATACTTTATTGAAATTTAAAGCTTCTGCTTTTTAAAGGACAACATTAGGACAAGGAAAATACAAAGTAGAGGGCGAGAGACGTGGCTCAGTGACTGGTACCTGTTTTGGATACATGAGGCTCTGGGGTCAATCCCTACTTTGTGCGTAAACAAATGAAACCAAAATCAAGTTACCTGTCAGTATTGATATGGACATTTCAAAGATAATCACTGTGCTTTTCAAGTGGCCCTCAAGTGTTTTCATACTCACCGATTAGCATGACCATAAAAATTAGGCTCAGTTAGATATTAGGCAAATGTACTTAAGCAATTTCATGAAAAATTGTTTGCAAATGATAAGGAAATAAATGCACCAATGAAGGTGAATCCTATGGAGATTGTCACTTGCCTCAACTTTGCTGTAGGGTCACTCACAGTTATGTCCCAAAGTATCTGAAAACATCTTCCATTTCCAACAGGATGTAGTAGTTGATGGTGGACCATGGCAGAAAATGCTATAAGTAATTTTTCTGCAGACAACATCTAGAAAAAGTTAGAAAATTAATAAACATCCTATTTTAAAAATATCACAGAAATATGGAAAACTTACTTACTACTTAGAGTAAAATTCCAGAGAGAAGAGACTCATCTAGAACTGAGTGGAATCATTGTTGCTATGTATTTTAAAAATATATTAAAAATAACCTTCTAACAGAAGGAAAATGAACACAGATTAAAAACAGAAATATAAGGAAAAGTTGAGAATAGCAAAGAATAAACATATATTCACTACAATAAAATAATTATGTTTATGTTGTTTAAAATTGTTATGTTGTTTAAAATTTAATAGTGTCAAATTTGACACTATTAAACAAAACAGAATATAATAAAATCAGTCAGAACAAGATGTGGAGAACAATACAGGGGTTCAAATCAGGTTAATAGCAAAACAAAAAAGTTACTATAATATATCCCACTATTTTTAATTTAGTTTTCAATTTTTAAAAAAAGAAAAAAAAGGGGGGGATTGAGATTAAAATAAAAAAATAAAAAAATAAAAAAATGCTTGAGAATAATAATAAAATATATAATGTAAATAAAAAGATAAAATTTTTCTAAAGTACTAATGGAGTAAGTTGACTACAATAAGTCAAGAAATACATGTAGTATAACTCTTAAGGTAATCATTAAAGGAATAAAAATGCAACTTTTAGAATATATGTACTAATTAAAAGAAAACAGAAATAATGAAAAATGATTTATCTAGAGGAAGGATGGAAAAAGAAAAATGTGATATAAAACTTTTAAGGAACAGAAACAAACAGAAAAGTTATAGCCATATAAAAATCAGTTATCTTTTTTTATTTAAAGAGAAAAACAAAACAAAACAAAGCAAGACAGTAAAAGGCTACAAGTAATATAGAATTTCAAGAGAAAAAATATACAGTAAGAATTCACTAGTAAATAGATTACATATTGTCATCTCAGAAACAGTTGTCCAGGTTACAAAATTAAAGCATACAAAGTGGACATTCATACAGTGAAACTGCAGACAGTTCTGTTCAATGACCCAACAAAAACTCAGTAATATGGTTTTCTATCCTACACCCTTAAATACACTTGCAGTTATATCCTTTAGATCACTTTCTTTCCTCCTTTTTTTATGCTAACAATCACACATTTTGGGTTCCATCACTCCCACAGTTCTTATATCTTTTTCTTTGAAGAGGAAAAAAAATATAAAACAAGAAACAAGACAAACAAAACAGAACAACAACAACAACAAAAACCCCAATGTGACAAAGCAAAACAGAGTCAGAACAGGAAGATGGACATAGTATATAATGCAAAAAGAGATTACTAGGTGATCAACAATGGTTACCATTATGCCTCTTGTTATCCTACAAAGAGGTGCCTATATCAGCTGGTATAAAAGAATTGAACAAAGCAGTACAGAACAAGACCAATAAAACCCACATTGGAGACCTTACAGGACTTCCAAAGAAGATAATAGTCAAACCATAATGGGTGTCATAGAGTATCTGGTTGCCTTCTAAGTGGTTGTCTATACCCTCAAATTTGACACTATTAAACAAAACAGAATATAATAAAATCAGTCAGAACAAGATGTAGAGAACAATACAAGGGTTCAAATCAGGTTAATAGCAAAACAAAAAAGTTACTATAATATATCCCACTATTTTTAATTTAGTTTTCAATTTTTAAAAAAAGAAAAAAAAGGGGGGGGGATTGAGATTTTAAAAAAAGAGCATATCAATAGAACAACCCAGGTCAGAACCGAACAATGTAAGCATCATTGTGTTTCACCACCAGATAGCCTGACATTAATAGTAGTTACCATAGTGTCTTTTTCCTTGAAATATTTGAGTCTAACTTAGTATACTATAGCATCAAACTTATCAAGACAGTGTGAAACCATTCAAGACAATGTAAGTATTGCAGGGTATTTAGAATCAGCTAACAGAAACCTAACATTGATTTCTATGTTATCTCTTTGTCTATAAGAAACTTTGCTTATACTATTGGATACATTAAAATATAATAAGATACAACATGTTAAAACTAATGGAAACAGATGAACAACAACTTGATGGGGCTTCAAAACAGGATAATATTAAATCAGCACTAGCCATTACACTCTTATTTTCTTCAAAATAGCTATTCGTAGTATCGCAGACAATAATATAAAGCAACCCAGATTAAAACCATTCCAATTAATGAATGAAAACATATGGCTTCAAACCAGTGTGACTGGGGATCATGATTACCACGTACTTTTATGTATTCTTATCATTACTTACACTAGGGAAACAATTTGTTATTTATAGATGTGAGTTTGATTTATTTCACTTATGAGTACGATCTCAAGCTGCATCCATTTATTTATAAATGTCTCAATGTGATCATTCTTTATGGCTGAGTAGTACTCCATTGTATAAAAATACCACAACTTTTTAATCCATTCCTCAGTTGATGGATACTTGGGTTGTTTCCAAGATCTGGCTATTACAAATTGTGCTGATATATGGGTGCACATATATCACTGTGGTATGATGCTTTCAGCTCTTCTGGGAATATGCCTAGAAGTGGAATAGCTGGGTCAAAAGGGACTTCCAATCCCATCTTTCTGAGAAATCTCCAGACTGACCTCCACAATGGTTGCACTAGTCTACACGCCCACTAACAGTGTAGGAGAGTTCCTTTTTCCCCACAGCCTCTCCAGCATTTGTTGTTGGTGGTTTTCTTGATCCTGGCCATTCTTTCAGGAGTGAGATGAAATCTCAGTGTGGTTTTTATTTGCATTTCTCTAATGACTAATGATGAACATTTTCATATATTTATTTGCCATTTGTATTTCTTCATCTGAAAATTGTTTATTCATCTCAGATGCCTATTTTTGGATTGGGTCTTTGAATTTTGGGGGTCTGATTTTTTAGACAGAAGTCCTTTGTCTGAGGGGCAGTTCACTAAGATTTTTTCCAGTTTGTGGGTTTTCTCTTCTCTGCACTATTTCTTTTGATGTGCAGAAACTTTTTAATAAGATGTGCTCCCAGTTATTGACTCTGGGGAGTATTTCCCATGCGGTTTGAGTCTTGTGCATGAATTCTCTACCTACCCCTATGTCTTCAAGGTTTTTACCCAATTTGTCTTCCAATAGATTTAGTGTTTCTGTTTTAATATTTAGATCTTTGATCCATTTAGATTTTATTTTAGTATATGGTGATAGGCATGGGTCTAGTTTTAGTTTTCGGCATATGGAGAGCCAGTTTTCCAACATCATTTATTAAAGAGACTGTCATTCTTCCAGTGAACATGTTTGGCCCCTTTATCAAAGATAAGGTGGTTGAGTGTGTTTGTAGTTGTGGTTGTATCTTCTAATCTATTCCACTGATCTTTGGCTCTGTTTTGATTCCAGTACCATGTCGATTTAAATACAGATGCTTTGTAGTATAACTTCAAGTCAGGGATTGTGATGTCTCCTGCCTTGCCTTTGCTGCTTAGAACTGTCTTTGGTATTCTAGGTCTCTTCTGGTTCCAGATGAATTTTAGGAGTGATTTCTCGAGATCTATGAGGTATGTTGATGGTATTTTTATCGGGATTGCATTGAATCTGTATAACAGTTTTGGGAGAATGGCCATTTTCACAATATTTATTCTTCCTATCCATGAGCAAGGGATGTCTTTCCATTTTCTGAGATCATCTTCAATTTCATTTTTCAGTGTATAATAATTTTCCCTGTATAGGTCTTTTGCTTCTTTTGTGAGAATAATTCCTAAATATTTAATTTTTTTGGTTGCTAGTGTGAAGGGTGTGACTTCTCTTATTTCTCTCTCTGTGATTTTTTGTTAGTGTATAGGAATGCTATTGATTTTTGAGTATTGATTTTGTATCCAGCCACATTGCTGAATTTATTTATTATATCTAGGAGTCTTTCAATGGAGTTTTGGGGGTCATCTATGTAGAGTATCATATCATCTATAAATAGTGGTAATTTAACTTCTTCTTTTCCTATCTTTATACCTTTTATTTCTCTCTCTTGTCTAATTGCTCTGGCTAGTATTTCCAGTACCATATTAAATAGGAGCAGTGACAGGGGACATCTTGTCTTGTGCCTGATTTTAAAGTAAAGGCCTTCAATTTTTGGCCATTTAGTATCATACTGGCTGTTGGTGTGTAATAGATGGCCTTTATTATGTTGAGGTAAAGACCATCTATTCCAATTTTCTGCAAGGTTCTTATCATAAATGAATGTTGTACCTTGTCAAAAGCTTTTGCTGCATCTATAGAGATGATCATGTGATTCTTATTTTTGACTCTATTGATATGTGGATTACATTTATTGATTTACCTATGTTGAATCATCCCTGCATACCTAGGATGAATCCCACTTGGTCATGGTGTATAATCTTCTTGATGATTTGCTGCATCCTATTTGCCAATATTTTATTGAGGATTTTTGTTTCTGTATTCATTAGGGAGATTGGTCTATAGTTCTCTTTTTCAGTTGGGTCTTTCTCAGGTTTTGGTAATAGAGTAATATTTGCTTCCAGGAATGACTTGGGAAGGATTGCTTTTCTTTCAATTTCATTGAAGAGTTTGAGTGTCGGCATTAGGTCTTCTTTGTATTTCTTGTAGAATTCTGCAGTGAATCCGTCTGGGCCTGGGCTCTTCTTTGTAGGTATGGACTTAATTACATTTTCGATTTCATTAATAGAAATTGCGTTTTTCAGCAGTTTTACATCTTCTTGATCTAGCTTTGGTACTTCATATGCTTCTAGAAATCTTTCTATTTCTTCTGTGTTATCAAACCTTTGAGAGTAGAGGTTTTTGAAATAGGTGTTGATGATCTTCTGTATTTCTATTGGGTCTGTAGTGATTTCACCTTTTTCATGCCTTACTGCATGAATTTGAGCTTTTTCTTCCCCTTTTTAAATGAGGCTGGGTAGGGGCTTATCAATTTTATTTATTCTTTCAAAAAACCAACTCTTTGATTTATTGATTTTTTTGGATTGTTTTCTTAGTCTCTATTGCATTGATTTCTGCTCTGATTTTTATTATTTCCTCTCTTCTTTTGGCTTTAGGCTTGACTTGCTCTTCTTTTTCTAGATGTTTGAGGTGTAACATCACGTTATTTATTTGTATTTGTTCTGTTTTCCTGAACAGAACTCAGTGGGAACTCAGTGCAATAAATTTTCCTCTGAGGACAGCTCTCATTGCATCTCACAGATTCTGGTAAGTTGTATTTGTTTTTTCATTTGTTTGTAGGTATTGTTTAATTTCTTCTTTAATTTCCTCTGTGACCCACTGATTACTCAAGAGTGTTTCAGTTTCTATGTGTTTGTGGGATTTTTGCAGTATCTTTTATCATTAATTTCTAATTTCATAGCACTATGATCCGAAAACATGCAAAGGATAATTTCAACTCTTTTGCATTTATTTAAATATGTTCTGTGAGTTACTATATGTCCTATTTTAGGGAATGACCCATGTACTGCTGAGAAGAATGTGTATTCTGTTGTTGTTGGGCGGAATACTCTGTATATGTCTATCAATTCCATTTGTTCACAGGTGTGATTCAGTTCTTTTATTTCTTTGCTGATTTTCTGTCTGGTTGATCTGTCCATTGGTGTCAATAGTGTGTTAAAATAGCCTGTTATAATTGCATTACTGCTAATTTTGTTTTTCATTTCTGATATTACTTGTTTTATATAACTGGATGCTCTGGAATTTGGTGCATATATATTTAAGGTAGTTATCTCTTCCTCTTGAAGTTTTCCCTTAACCAGTATGTAGTGACCTTCTTTATCTCGTCTGATCATTATTGGTTTGAAGTTCACATTGTCTGCAAACAGAATAGCTACCCCTGCTTCTTTTTTTTGGATTCATGTTGCATGTTTTCCATCCTTTGACTTTTCAGTCTGTGAGTATCCTTTTGGGTTAGATGGTTTCTTGTAGACAGCATATGGTTGGATTTTGTTTCTTGATCCATTCTGCCAGTCTATTTCTTTTAATTGGCGCATTGAGACCATTTACATTAATGGTTATAAATGTTATACATTGGTTTATTGCTGACATGTTATATTTTTGCTGTTGCATCTTTATCTTTCTCTTCTGCTTAATTGTCTGCTTTGTTTAGTTGTTTTTTCCTAAGTGTATCTAAACTGTCTTTCAGTATTCTTTGCAGGATTGGCTTGGTGATCATGAATTTCTTCAGCTGTTCTTTGTCATGGAAGTATCTTATTTCTCCATTGATTTTGAAGGACAGTTTTGCAGGGTACATCAGTCTAGGTTGGAAATCATTTTCCTTTAGGATCTGAAATACTTCACTTCATGCTCTTCTTGCCTTTATTGTTTGTGTTGAGAAGTCTGCTGTGATTCTGATAGGTTTTCTTTTATAGGTGATCTGTCTTTTCTCTCTGACAGCTTTTAATATTCTATTCTTTTGTTTGATTTCTCAGATGGTGATTATTATGTGTCTGTGGGTAGTTTTATTTTGGCTATGGCTATTTTGTATGCTTCATTGATCCTGATATCAGTTTCCAATTTCATGTTTGGGAAATTTTCATCTATTACTTCTCTAAATATCCTCTTGACATCCTTTATGTTGTCTCCTTTTTTCATTTATCCTTATAAACCTTATGTTGTTTCTCTTTGCATCATCTTGCAGGTGTTGAATTGTTATTTCCTGATTTCTTGTTATTTTTAAAAGATCTTTCCTTTCCTGTTCACTGGCTGCAATCTTGTCTTCAAGGTCCTAAATTCTATCTTCGCATTCATTGAAGCGGTTTTACAACTTTCAATGGAATTTTTGATTTCCTGTATATCTCTTTGAATCTGCTTTATACATTCTGTTTGTTTCTTGTATTGTTCATCCAGGGATTCTTTCTTTTTGTTTAGTTCCTCCAATTTTTTAACTGTGTCTTCTTTAGATATGTTCAGCATCTCCTTCATTTCTTTTATTATTTCTTCTTTTACCTGAGAGATTATTTCTAGTTTGAATTCCTTTAAAGCTTCCTGGAGTTGCTTTTTTATTTCAGTTACTATTATTTCAGGTATATGGCATGTATTTTCTTCTATGTACCTGGCTCCTAGGCTTTCTTGGGATGGGCTGGATGGTTGAGATTGAATTTTGGTCTTTCATTTTGTCATTTTCCTATATTTCTGTGTTTCAAGTGTTGTTCCAGAGTTTCCCTGGGTGTGTTGGAGATTGTCTCTTATGACCTGGGCTCCTGGGACTCCTCTGGTAGTATAGCTCCCTCTTTGGGCAGTGGAGCCCCTGGATTAAAAAAGAGTTGCCAGGCTCCTCTCAGGTAGACCTAAAGCCTCCTCAAGCTGCACAGTTTCCCCCTCTGGTAGCAAAGCTTCCCTGAGGGAAAGAAGGCCACCTGGTGTGGTCCAGGCAATCCCAAATCCTGCTAAGTCCAATCTAGTGTGGCTGCAAGCCCAGCGGACCCCCAACCCACCAAAGCCAGGATCTCATACTCTCCCAGGGGTTGGATGTTGTGTAGTCATCCAGCTCCTTGGATGGCTCCTTGGATCCCCGGGGTGATAGAGGGTCCCCGTATGGCCTAGGTAGGCCTCAAACCTCCTCAGCAGGACTGCTCCTTTCAACAGGCAGTGGCAGTAGTGCTGGTGCTCTCCAGGTCAAAAGAAGGTGGCAGACAAGGCGGGAGCAGGTTCCAGCAGCTTGGCCCAGCTCCCTCCTTCCGGCTGGCAGCTGTGGTGCACTTCTCCGGCTAGAGAGGTGGCAGGCGGGGCTGAGCGGACTCCCTCCACTAGGCTGTTGTCTCTCCTTCCTGCTGGCCCCTGTGGTTTGCTCCTCAGGCTCAAAAATCAGTTATCTTGATAATTACATTAAACTATGAATGAATTAGTACTTTACATGAATAGTGAAGATTATTAGAATAGATTAAAAACTATAAAAATCTAATTGTATACTGCTTAAGGTTGAAGTATTTTAAATTTAAATTTAAATTTTAAATCACAGAAACATCAAAAGAGAAATGACAATCTCAGGGACATAAAGAGATACAATCTGTTAGTTCCATATTCAAAATAAATGAAAAAAAACCCTGTAATTTGCAAAGTAGCAACTTGATTTGAAAGTATCAGCATGCAGACACTGTGGAGTCAATAATTCTTCTGAAATCTGGGGAGATAGGACTCAGGAGCCTGCTTACTTAAATAGATGGTGTTACAGGTTAAGAGCTGGTGGTCAACTTAACGCCAGCTGGATTACATCAGCATGGCATTGAGTGAAGATGCTCCACCTGAGGAAAATTGCCAGGATAAATAGGTGGAGAAGAAGGGAGGTGTTGAGGGTTGAGGCGTTAAGGAAGCATTGTGGGTTCTCCTATGAGTTGCTGTCTGAGCTGTTGGTTCTCCTGGAGAAGCTTTGGTCCTCACATCAAGCATTGCTTCCTGGCTCCCGAGGGGAAGACGCGCTGCTTGGTCTTCCGGATGAACTCATCATGCTGCTTCCTGGCATGTACCCGATTGTGCTTGTCGTCAGAGGAGCTTGGGGCCTCCATGTCGCTGAGGACAGCTGTGGTGTCTTTCAGGACAGCCCTGGTCTTTGTTGTGAGTGTGACTTCTCAGCTCCAGTGTAGAACCTTCATCCCACTAGCACAGCTCCTTCATCCTGCTGGCATAGACTTTCTGGCTTCCACCGCTGACCCTTGGGTCTTCCAGGCACGGATCTGTAAAAGAGACTGGCGTGAGTCCTTCTTGTGGGCTCTGGACCTCCAATTGGACTTGTGGGAGGCGTTGTCCTGAGCTCTGGGTTTTATCTGGACTCATGTGGGACATGTGCTGAAGGGTTTAGGCCTTGACTAAATAATCTATGTCTTTGGTGTTGCGGATAGATTTCCTACATTTTCCTGTGTTAACTCCCGTTGACCATTATAAAAATTTATAAACTCCATGTCCTGAACCTAGTTGTTCTCTGTGTACAACCCCTGACTACAATCAATTGCTACCATCATAAGAATTTAGCCAGAGTAGTTGATACACTGGTGAAGGCCAGTTGTGCACTGAGGAAACTGTTGGAGACCCCTTGGAGCTTCAGATATTGGGAAACTGGAGAGGGTCACATACTCATTTGAAAGCCTTCTGTCTACAAACAAAGCAACATATCCAGAGAATCTTGAGAATGCTGCCCTTGTGGGATAGGCTTGGGAGAAAGGTACCACTGTAGAAAGGGCACAAAACTCTTACATAGTGTCTTTTCTTTACCTCCCCTATAGAACAAAGAAAGAAATTTGGCTCTATATTTGGGAGAGGAGGAGGATGAAAGATAATTTTTTTTCACCATTAAGGTAAAAGTAAAATTGTTTTGCAAAAGGCAGAAAATACATCATTTATCCAAAGGGAAAGAGTAAGATTATATGCTGGCGCTAGCACCCCAACTACAGAATGTATAGCACATTTTAATGACCATATTCCCCAAACTCAGAGCCTATATTAGGCTGAAATTTAATCATAAATCCATCAAGTTTTATCCCTGTTCCAAAGCTTCCATTATGCTAACAACATTGAGAGAAGGCGTCTGTGAACCACTACCCAGAAGCAGAAATAAGCAGACTCTGTGGTACAGAGTGAAGAGAAGACCTAAACAGACATTGACACACCCTCAAACCCAATCCAGTTTCTTGATTAATATAACTCCATACAAAGGGTCTAGCAGAAAAAAAGATGTATCCAAGTAAAACTGATTTACCTTGGTGACTATAGTTTCACACAAGATATCTAGCTTTAAGAAAAAAAATGGGATCATATTGAAACACACACACACACACACACACACACACACACACACACACACATACACACACACACGCCCAAGAGACAAATCAATCAGTAGAATCAGATGTAGCTATGCTAGAGAGGTTAGAATTATTTTACAGAGAATTTAAAATAACTACAATTAATATGGTAAAGGATCAGTAAAAATGTTGTATAATACATAAAAGCACATTGGTGATTTTGGCCAATAGAAATAAAAAATCAACATGGAAGATAATCATGTCAGGGAATGCCTGTAATCCCAGCACTCTTGTAAGCTGAGAAAGAGGATTACAAATTAAAGCCCACCCTGGGCAATGTAGTAGCTTACTAAAACCATACTGCAAGTTCAAAACAAAAACAACAAAACAAAACCTGGGGACGTATTTCAGTACCAAGGTCCTGTATTCAATCTCAAGTACTACCAAAAACAAACCAACCAACCAACCAACCAACAAGAAAAATCAACACGAATGTGATAGAAATGAAAACAATAACAGAAATGAAGATTGTCTAAATTCATCAGTCACTATAACACAATTAATGGAAAATGATCAGTAAATTTGAATCATAAGTCAGTGGAAACTAGTCAAGAGGAAAATGAATATGTGTAATCCCTCCCCTCCCTGACACATACAACAGCACATCTGAGGTCTGTGGGAAATATCAAATAATCTATATATTCATTGTTAAATGTCAGAAGGAGAAAAAAGATAATAAACAGGACAAATATTTGAAGAAACAATAGCTGAAATTTTCCAAACTTAATCATAAACAACAAGAAAGATTTCTATAAAGAAGGACATTTGCTGATTCAAAAGAGTCAACGCAACAGAAAAATATCACAATTTTAAGTCTGTATGTACTTAGAACATTGAATCTGTGCCCACATCTTTCACCATGTACCAAACTAAAACTAAAGTTGATCAAATAGCTAAATATTAAAACAAATACTTAACCTGCTAGAACATAAAGCTGATATAACTCTTGAAGTCATAGGCATAGCCAAGGGGTTTCTGAACAGAACCTCAGGTAGACAGGAAAAAGAACCAAGAATCAACCAGAGGGATCATATCAAATTAAAAAGCTTCTGTGTAGCAAAAGAAATAGCCAACGGTGAAAATGATGGTAAAAATTTTTACCAGCTCTTCCTCAGAAAGAGGACTAATATCTAAACTGTAAAGAACTAAAAAATTAAATTAAAAGACTCAATCAAAAAGAGGGCCACTGAAATGAACAGACACTTCACAGAAGAAGGAATACAAATGGCCAATAAGTACAAGAAGAAATGGTCAGCATCATTGGCCATTAGAAAAATGCAAATTAAAATAACACTGACATTGTATCTGACTCAGAAAGAATGGTCGTCAGTGAGAAATCAAGTAATAGCAAATGTTGGTGAAGCTACTGGAGAAAAAGAAACCTTTTATATTGTTGGTTAGAATGTAAAATAGTACAACTATGGAATCCAGGTTAGAGAATCACCATAAAACTAAAACTAGAAATTCCATTAGACCCAGTTTTTCTCCTAGATATCCTCCGCAAAGAGTTAGTCTATTACATTGCTACATGCATACCCATGTTTATAACAGCTCAATTCATAATAGCTAAATCTTGAAAGTAGTCTATGTGTCCATCAACAGGCAAATGGATAAAGAAAATGTGGTATTTCCACACAATGGAGTAGTACCTTTAGCCACAAAGAGAGGCAAACTTGAGTCATTTGTAGGAAAGGGGATGCACCTTGAGACCACAATGTTAAGTGAAATAAATCAAATATTCAACATTAAAAATCTCTTAGAAGAGAAACTCAAAGTATAAATAAAGAGGAAAATAAAAGATAATGGGAAGTGGGAAGGTATTTCTCAAGTGACAAGGGAATCAAGAGATGAAGGGAGACTCAACAATGATAAGAGGGACTCAAGAGGGGAAAGAAAAAAGGAATTAAGATTTGCTATGTATGTACATAGCCAAACTCCAAACAAAAAATGTAAACACTGTGTACTGTAAGAATATACCAATGAAAACAAATATTAAAAAATTAAACATTAAAAAATCTGCATATACCTAAACATGTACTGTATGACCATAGATATATTTTTCTGTATATACATATATGCTAATATAGAGACTATATGTATTTTCTGAGGATATATATATATATATATATATATATGGTCTTGTTCTATGACTAACAGCAATGATCTGTCGTATATTCAGAGATGACAACTACAGCATTTAAGGTCGTAAAAACACTTCAAAATTAAAAGTAAACATAAAACATAAAATATTTATATGCCTTTTATGTATAAAGTCAATGCTTCAAAGACATTTATAATAAGATATTTTTAAAATTATCTGTTCAGTAACTATGGAGTGTGATAAGCTTTTATTTTCAAAGCATTGCTACATTTGAGCACCACTGAAGCACTTTATATATACATATATACACACACACACACACACACACACACATTTGGTATATATATGGTGTATATGTGTATTTGGCATTGGTACTGGCAATCAAACTCAGCACTTGTGCTTGCCAGGCAGGCTCGGTGCCCCTGAGCTATATCCCTGGCCCCGCTTAAGCATTTTTAAACTGTAGTTCTCTGCACTCTTTCAATAAAGATTGGTTGAGACTTGAAAATGAGGGTTTTTAAAAATATTGATTGGTTGATTTTTTGCTGGGTTGATTGATTGAAAAAGACTTCTAAGTAACTGCAACACCGCATTTGGAAATGTCTCTCTTCTGTCTCCCTCTCTTGTTTGATAAACTCTCCTTCTGTCTTAGGGTTGGCATTGGCTATGAAACCAAAGCTAAAGCCAGGCTCACCCTTGTCACTTTGAATTTATCTGAGTGGTTTTCTGCAGTCTCCAGGCACCCACACTGATATTTTACTTCTACCCTATCCTGTCCTTTTTTGGCATCAACAGACTTAGATGTTACTTTAGATTTTAGACTGGTGCAAAGCTAAAGTAGTATGTAAAACATCTGACATTTACTTTAAAGGATCATTAAATGAAGCTTCATTTCATCATGTCCTTGTGATTTTTTGCAATAATGAGGTCAAACACACTTTTGATCCCCTCTGCAGAAGACCAAGCTTCTTTCATTCAGGGCAAACCTCTATGTGAGTCTACTGACAGCAGATGGAGTTGGAATAAATGAATTCTTTTTTTTTAAATTTTATTTAAAAGGAAAAACATAAAAAACAAAACAAAACAAAGCGGTGTAAGGGTACAAGTAATACAGAACTACAAAAAAAAAAATAGTAAGAAATCACCAGTTAATAGATTGCACATTATCATCTTAGAGATAGTTGCTCAAGTCACAGTATCAAAGCATGCAAAGTGAGACTGCAAACAGTTGTGTTCAATGATCCAACCAAAATCATTAATATGGTCATCTATTTAACACCCCTAAACACACTTGCAGTTGTATCCTTTAGAGCACTTTTTTCCCCTCTCTTTTTTACAACAAAATTTACACATTTTGGGTTTTATTACTCCAGTATTAATTATTGCAATCTGCTCATCCATTTGTTTCTAAGGAAAAATTTCCTTTAAATATTTAGAACAGTGATATTCATATTATAGTGGGCATCAAAATAGTGTAAGTAATAAATGTTTTCAAAAATAGAGATTCCTGAGATCTTATGCTCAGAGATTTTGTATAAATAACACTGTGGTAAGTCTCTTAAGTCTGTGTTTTTAAATGAGTATCTTTTCATGATCCTACCATGACAGGAACTCTAGAATAGCACTATGTTTAACCCTATGTAATAAGCCCTATGTAAGACAATCATTTGTGATAATTTTATGTGTTTATGGATGTTCTGTCACAGAGTCAATGAACAACAGTGTGAACACTGACAGAATATAGAACTTGCTAAAATATAAGAAGAAAAAAATC